AACACTCAATAAAGGGCAGGGCGAAGTTAAGTCTCTATATAATCAGAAAACATGAGATTGTACCAAAAAATTATTCAAGAAGAATGGGAAGGTTAAGAGAGGAGAAATGCATAAATCTTACAAATTAAACCTCAGGAACACAATTCAAGAAGAGAATTGAAGCAACATTTTTTCACAAATATTGTATTAAGTGCATAGCTTAATTCATTCATGCTGTCAGTGGTTTAATTTGGTATTTCACTTCCAAACAATGATCAAAATAAAAGATACTATTTGATTGTCCTTTTGTTTGTAAATATACTTCTTTATAAATTTATTGATGTCATCCCTTTCCCCCAACATTCTCTCTTTTACCCTTTTTACTTAGCATGTGGTGATAACTTCCACTAGTGCATTTAAAAATGCTAATGAAGCATTATTTAGTATTTGACAGTATTGTATCAGCAATGCTTTATTCTTCAATATATTTTTATTAATTTCAGAGAAGAAGGGAGAGGAAGAAAGAGATAGAAACATCAATAATGAGAGAGAGTCATTGATCGGCTGCCTCCTGCACACTTCCTACTGGGGATCGAGCCCGCAAACCCAGCATGTGCCCTTGACAGGAATCCCACAGTCTATAGGCTGATCCAGGTAGGGCTTCTCAGTAATGCTTTATATAGCATTTCTGGGAACAAAGCTCTAGGTGGAGCAAAGTGCATTAAAAGTCTGAGAATGGTGTTCCTTGAAGGCATGCATGCAGAGTATTTGTGGTCAGTTCTGATGTATCTAATAAAATGAGAGTGCTTAGCTTTCAGCAGTTGCTATTAAAGGCTGATTTAATGAGTGTTACTTCTCAAGAAGAACACAGGTTTTCCTATCCCTGTCTATGCTGTAATGTATAATAACACCTTCTTATCACTTTTTGCTTGGTAAATATCATGTTATTAGCATGCATATTTTTTTGACATTTCTATGTAAGAGGTCTTGTGCTAGGTACTACAGTGGTTGGCAGATAACCTTGCATTCTTTCATGCTCAGTGTTTTACTGGTGGGATGACCTGGTTTCAATCCTGCCAATTGTACTTGAAAGATACTGAGATAGCAAAATTGGAGGCAGCTAAAACTGTGAGTGAGGTATAGGAAAAAACATTTTGCTGTCATTTTCTTTCATCTTTGCTTTTTCACCTCTCCCCCCTCAATATGGGAAATACACTCCAGATGTGGGATACCTACTGAAATAACCAAAAATGATGTTTTGTCCTTTTTATTAAAAATATAGGGTAGACTATATCTTTTATTTGCTCTTAGGTAAGTACACAAAAGTATGTATACCATTTTTTCCAAAAATTTCCCTTGTTCAAAACTTCTCTCTTTAAAAAAACTGTCAAGAAATCACAGAATTGCTGCGTTCTTTTTCCCTCTCTGAAAATATAGAGTAATTTTCCTTTAGTGTCCTAAATGAAGTAAGAAAATTATAATTGAGTATTGAAATTCAATCTGTCTCAAATGATGGAACAGAGCTAAGTTTGCATGTGACCAACATCTTCAATTTCTAGCTCAGGGTGAAGACCATAAATTATCAAACACCTCCCCCCTTGGATGAGTTCATAGAATAAAACTTAGAATTAGGCTGTGGGTAAGGAAGGTTTCATAGGTGTACAGGCTTTACAGTTACAGGGACCTGACTCTTGTGCAATGCCATCCTACAAACATTGTAATTTATGAACAAAGAGCTTTGAATTTCTGTTTTGTACTTGGTCCTGCAAATGATATAGCCAGCAGGTTGTGGGTTGTGGTAGAAACTCTTTGCTTCAGTTTAGGTTCTAAATGCTTATAAAACCAGGACATTCCACCATCAGCAAAAGACTAGAGTGGAAATGGTATCTCAATAACTGAATATTGATTATAGTGTTTTAGATACAAACAGAACTTGTGGACCTTCTCTGTTTCTTGATTTCCTAGATTTACTTTCTCATTCAAATTGAAATAATTAAAATGAAGCCTGCCTTTTATTTTGGCTAATTCTAAAACAACCTTTTTCATCCTGTTAAGTCTTTCTCTTTGGGTGCCTTTTTTCCTGCTTTCTCTGAAAATAGGCAAATTTTCAGAAGAGGGTGATATACCTGACCTATTATTAATAAAAAATAGGAATAATTGTAGTATATATATTTTATTGCTTATGAGGATAAATGGGATAATGCATGCAAATTTTAACAAGTTTTGGGCACATATTAAGTTATTGATACATTTAACAATTTTTGAATCACTAAATTCAACTTCTATGTGAATCATTTATATATACATGTGTTATATGAACTAAAATAACTGGATAAAAAATGTTAAAGTGTCATATTGATAATACTTTTATTAATCATCATTTAATTTATATTTTACTACTAGCACTATGTAAGTGTTGCCCTCTATTTCCTTTTCTCCTTCATTTGAATTCTTTTAAATAAATAACGTTTTAGAATAATTATTTTATTTGGACAAATCTTTTCCTGGTAGTTTCCCCTCTTTTCAAGATTCTACATTTTTTTTTGTCTTCTTCAAATAAACATGTAAAATGAAGCTAAAATATGGAAAAGTATGCTTAATATTTTTATATTCATAGCTTGAAACTAAATATAGTACTAGCTTCAATATATTAAGTCAATCTACTGGTTATTTCTATGAATCATAAAAATACCATTTTAAGAATTTTACTTTAGATCACAAAGAATTGATAACATTTTCCTTGCGAAATAAGATTTACATCCACTTTTCCAAGCAAATGAATATGGAAAATAGTGCAGGAGAGTATGGTTGGCAGAGATGCACGGAAAGCAGCTATGCATTTTCTCTCAGGCCTCCAAAGGGGAAATGTTAACAAGGAGCTGTAAGGTAGCAGAGAAATCCTAATGAAGTTCATTTCCCACCAGTCAAAGAGATGAACATTTTAGGAAGCCCTGCAATCGATCAGTAGGCTTATTAAACATTAACACATCTTTCTTATTTTCTTCATTAGAGATTTTGCAAAGTAACTAAGAACGTGACTGTGCCAATGAGTCAAATTCTTTCAAGTATCAAGACAGGCATCAGTAATGATGTTTGATATTTTCTTATAGTGCACTAGAGGTCTGGTGCATGAAATTAATGCTCTGGGGTTGGAGGGGGATCCCTCAGCCCAGCCTGTGCCCTCTCTCAGTCCAGGACCCCTCAGGGGATGTCTGCCTGCTATCTTAGGCTTGCTCCCCAGAAGGAGTGGGCCTAAGTCAGCAGGCAGGCATCCCTCTCACAGTCTAGGACACCTCGCTCCTTACTGCCCACCTGCTTGATGCTCTCTACCACTTGGCTCACTGCTCCTTAGTGCTGCTGTGGAGGATCCTGGCACCACTGCTGCACTTGCCAACCATGAGCCTGGATTCTGGCTTAGTGGTGCTCCTCCTGTGGGAGTGCACTGACCACCAGGGGGCAGCTCCTGCATTGATCATCTGCCCCCCTGGTGGTCAGTTCATAGCGACCAGTTATTCCACCATTCAGTCGATTTGCATATTAGGGTTTTGTTATATAGGATAGGAAATTGAATGGGTACTGTAAATGAAAAATAAAATTTTAAAAAGAACCAAATAAAATTTTACATCTTAAAAAAAAATTAAAATATGTATATTTTAATTCTCACTTGACGATGTTTTTTAAATTGATTTTTTAAAGAGAGAACCATCTATGTGACAGAGAAATATCAATAGGCTGCCTCTGCGCCTACTGATCCACCTAGATATAACCTAAGCCTAAGCATGTGCCCTAATTTAAAATCCAACAGGAAATCCTTCGGTGTACAGGTTGAGACTCCAACCGATTGAACCACCTGGCCAGGGCAGATCTAAAATGAAAGTTTTAAGTGTACCTCCAGGCCCTGGTCGGTGTGGATCAATAGTTGGAGTGTCCTCCCTCACACCAAAGAGTCATGGTTTCAATTCCAGGTGAGGGCACATATACAGGTTGTGGGTTCCATCCCTGCCAATTGCTTGGGCAACTGATTGATCTTTCTCTTTCTTTTTCCCTCTTCCTTCCTTTCTCTCTAGAATCAATGAAAAAAACAAACAACAAACAAACCATATCCTTAGAGGAGGATTTAAAAAAAAAATGTTAGCTTGGTTCAGTGGATAGTGTTTCTGCAGGCAGACTGAAGGATACTGGGTTGGATTTTGATAAAGGGCACATACCTGGGTTGCAGGCTCAATCCGGGGCTCTGGTAGGGGATTCAGCAAGAGGCAACCAATTGATGTCTCTCACATTAGTTTCTGTCTTTCTCCCTCCCTCCCACTCTCTCTCAAAATAAATAAATAAACACATAAATAAATAAATAAATAAATAAATAAATAAATAAATAAATATCAATGGGAAAATGTCCTCAGGTGAGGATTAACAAAAACAAACAAACGAACAAAAGCACACCTATCCCCAGTGAGATTATTGAAGGAATATATGAAGTGTATATTGAATGACTGGGAATGGGTGGTACTTTGTTTTCTAACTGTTTTAGCAACTCTGCAAGCCAGATGGTTTATTTTTTGTTTTAATGTTTATTGATTATTTTAGAGAGAGGAAGGGAGCGAGAGAAATGCCAGTGTTTGTTCCACTTGTTATGCACTCTTTGGTTGCTTCTTGTCTATGCCCTGACCAGGGATCCGACCTACAAACTTGCTGTATCAGGAGGGATTAAAGGGGGGGATAAATAGTGATGGAAGATTAAACTAAATTTAATACTAGATTTAGGAGGAGGTAGAACCCACTGCGCTGCGGGCTGCTTGTCAGGGCCCCTTCACCAAATCCCATCTAACGTGCCCTGTGCTCTGTGGGCCGGAGCTCCTTTGCCCCAGCAAAGGTTTGGGTTCATTCTGTCAGGGCACCTATAATACTTAGGTTTCGTGTTTGATCCCTGGTCGGGGCTGACTGCTGCTCAGGAAGTGACCGAGGACTGTTGAGGTCCATGTGCGCTATGTTATTTGGCGGGGAGCTGGGCTTCCCTTGCCGACATGGCCTACTCCAATCCCCGCTACCTCCGCTCCTCCACCAAAGATGACTTCAGCTATGGCAGCTACATGGCCTCTGCCAGCGTACACATCTGCATGGATAGGTCGGCCTTTCCAAGGCCAGTCCAGCTGCTGTGCATTCGCCCCAGGTGGTGGATTTCTGGGTTCCGAGGGACAGCATCCTCCACGCCAGACTCCCAGGGAGAGCGGGTCCTGGAGAGAAAGCACTTTGCTCCGCCTCCTCTTGGGGCTTCTGGGTTGGAGCACCTGTCTTGTGCTCAGAGGGGAGAACTGCTCCAGGGATGCCTCCTAGCTGGCTGCTGAGAACACGAAACTGGAGTCCTTCCTCCTTGAACCCTGCCATCCTCGTCCTTGGAGTAGGAAGGGACAGATAAAAGCCTCAGCAGCCTTCCTGGGGCATGCTGCATACACAGCCTGCTAAGCAGCCGTGACATTACTTTGTCCTGGACAATTTGCATATTCCTCTATTATTAGTATAGATATTTCTTTATCTCAGAAATACTGGCAATCTTGCTAGGATAATGCTCTAAAGAGTAAACACATAACCACCATCACACAGACACACACACACACACACACACACACACCACACCTTTGTCAAAGCAGTAGTCCTTGTTAAGAATAAACACTTATCACATCAGATGCATTGTGTTGACTAAGGTCCCAAGGTAGTCTTTGTGATCTTGGTTTCCAAGCTTCTGGAACACTTGGCAACACCCTCTTTCTGGGTGAGGTGGCGAAGTTTATCCTGACTCACCTACTGAACATCTTAGGCAAGAGTAACATTCAGTGTGGGCAATGGTTTTCTGATGTTTTGGAAATAGTATCCTGTTTGATTTTCAAAAGTTTTCAGGAGTCTCATCTATTCTGATTATTGAAATGTAAGAGTATAAATTTTCACCAAGTGACTGATTTCTGTGGGAAGTTGAAATACCTCTTTACAGACTCAGATAAAATGTTTTTCTTAAATGTCCTTAATTCTTTTAGCTGAATGATAAATTTATACTAACAAATAATTCTGTGTCATCCCCATTATCAAATCATTGTGAGAAGCATATAACTAAATATTTAGTTTGACTAGATATAAATATAAAAACATTTTGAGCTATAAATATATAATTATTAAGAAACATTTTTCCCCCTGCTGAATGAGTTTTCAAAATTATGTTTTGGGAATGTATGTTCATGTTGAAATGCCTTCTGTCACTCCTTATTTCTCAAAGATCAAATCCAGACTTCTGGGAAGAGTTTTACAATTGGAGACTTTTTCTTCTTTATGTTGATTCCTAATAAATGTAAATGTTGGTCAATCAAACTAGCATACTTAATGTACTCAATATATTCTGTCTTCTTTATCTCTATTATTTGCTTATCTCACTTTCCTTGCTTTATTTCACTTTCTTTTTATAATCTATTTTTAATTAAATTTATTGAAATGACAGTTAATAAAATTATATATGCTTCAAGTATACAATTCAATGATACATTATCTACATATTATAGTGTGTGTTCCCCACCAAAAGTTAAATCTCCCATCACCATTTATCCCCCTTTAACCTCTCCTGCCTTCTCCGCAACCACCGTTTCCTCTGGTAATCACCATATTATTGTCTGTGTCTGAGGCTTTTGGTTTGTTTAAATTGTTTTTTTTCTTAATCCCTTTACCTTTTTCAACCAGTTCCCAACCCCGCTTCCCTCTGACAGCTGTCAGTCTGTTCTCTGAAGCTATGAGTATTTTGTTTGTTTATTTTGGTTCATTAGATTTTATATATAGGTGATATCATATGGACACTTGGGCTGCTTCTAAGTCTTGGCGATTGTAAATAATGCTGCAATGAACATAGTGATGCATATATTCTTTTGAATTAGTGTTTTGGAATTTTTTTGATATATTCCTAGAAGTGGAATCATTGGTTCCTAAGGCAGTTCCCTTTTGAACATTTTTAGGGTACTCCCTACTGTTTTCCACAGTGGCTGCACCAATCTGCCTTCTCACCAACAGTACAAGAGGGTTCTTTTTTTCTACATCCTCACCAACACATATATCTTACTAATTTATTCATGACTAGAGGCCCAATGCATGAATATTCATGCAAGAATGGGCCTTCCTTCCCCTGCCTGCAGCACCACCTTCACGCTGGCTGCCTTTCTGCTCTAGCCTGAAGCCACCATTCTGCCTTCCCACCCTGCCCAGAGGCCCAGAGCAGCTGGAGTGGTGTGGAATGCCTGAGTAGTCACCATGGCGATAATGCAAACATTTCGCTCTGCCCCTGGCCTCTGGGTGCCTGCTTATGCAAATTAACTCACCAGGTTTGTTGGGTTAATTTGCTTACTCACTCCTAATTGGCTGGTGGGCATCACAAAAGTATGGTTAATTAGCATTTTACTCTTTTATTAGGTAAACTAGAGGCCCAGTACACAGAATTTGTGCACTGGGAGAGGGTGTCCCTCAGCCAAGCCTGCCCCCTCTCACAGACTGGGAGCCCTCAGGAGATGTCCTACTGATGGGGAGCGGGTCTAAGCTGCAGTCTGGCCTTCCTCTGCAGGAGGTTGACGGGGCTGATCAGGGGAAGCTGCCAGCCTTATCACCCCGCTGCTGCTGCCATTGTCACAGCCGCCAAGGTGTTTTCATCAACAAAGACTTCAGTCCCTTCACCATGAAAAAATGACAACTTTCAAGATGTGTCTTTCATAAGATATGACATTTCTTTTCTTTCTTTTTTATCCTCACCCAAGGATAGGTTTCCATTGCTTTTTAGAGAGCTTGGAAGAGAGAAACATCAATGTGAGAGGGACACTTCGATTGGTTGCCTCCTGCAACCTAGGTACATGACTTTGATCAGAATTGAACCCAGACCCTGTGATTGGCAGGCAGAGGCTCTATCCACTGAGGGGAGGATATGACATTTCTTAGCCCCTCTAGCAGCAGACCTTAGTTTTTCCTCCAGGAGTGTGGTGAAAAAAACCCCTAGATCACCTTCTTGCATGCTTATTACTCAGGTTACCAAGAACATTGTAAGAGGCAGCTTACAGGGAGCTTAGCCAATGAGCCTTCAGAATAGGTGTTTCCTCTGCAGCTCATGCACAGAGGATGCCTCACATTGTGTCCGCAGGCTTCTGTCCACTGGGCTGGGGGCTGCCAAGGACATGTCTCCAGCTCAGAGGCCCACTTTCTATCAGCTGGACTTCTGTCTGTTGGGCAGGGTTTGTGTCCCAAGCTGCGTGGCTGTGGCCAGAGCATGCCCCCAGCCCAGTGTCTGTCTGCTTAAGGTGTCCCAAGTAGCGCTGCAATGGCTCAGAGCTCACTCCCAGCTCAGCACCCACTTTCTGTCAGCTGAACTTCTGTCTGCTGGGCCAGGGGTGTATCCTAATCTCTATGGCAGGAGTTCTGAGCATGCCCCTGGCCCAGCAGCCCAGCACTCTGCAGCTTTTCCTCCTTCTTCGGCCTGGGAGTGGGATGCTAGCATCATCACTATGGGCTCTGCCATCTTTGTAGCAGAGTGATGGCTAATTTGCATATTATTCTTTTATTAGATAGGATAACCATTCTGCCAGGTGTAAGGTGATATCTCATTGTAGTTTTAGTACACATTTCTCTTTAATTACTGACATTGAGCACCTTTTTATAAGTCTTTTAGCCATCTACATGTCCTCTTTTCTTTTTTTTTAAAATATATTTTATTGATTTTGTACAGAGAGGAAAGGAGAGAGATAGAGAGTTAGAAACATGAGAGAGAGTCATCGATCAGCTGCCTCTTGCACACCCCCTACTGGGGATATGCCCTCAACCAAGGCACATGCCCTTGACCGGAATCGAACCGGGGACTCTCCAGTCCCCAAGCCGACGCTCCATCCACTGAGCCAAACCAGTCTCGGCTACATGTCCTCTTTGGAAAAGTGTTTATTCAGGTCATTTGCCCATTTTTTTATTTGAATACTTATTTTATTTGGTGCTGAGTTTTGTAAGTTCTTTATAAATTTGGATATTAATCCCTTATCAGCAGTATCATTGGTAAGTAAAGCTCCACTAATCTTCATGCAGCATTACTGGGAGTCTACTATCTACAAGGAACTATGCTTGAGGATTTTACATGGATTCACCAAGTGGATCTCTAAAACAATGGCTTATTTTGAAGGTTGAAAAACTAAAGATTAGACAACTAAATTAAGGCACAGAGCTCTGAAATGGCTGAGCTGAGATTTAAAATCCAAGTTCATATATATTTATGTATATAATTTCACAGTTGCCTCAAGCTAGCTTAAATTCTATCTTTTCTAGAAACCCATTCCTACTAAACCACAACTAATTTCAAAACTCCTAAACAAAATTGTCTGTATAATTAACTGGCAACTGCAGTCATATACAATTCCCTCTGTGACTGCCTTCTCTATGTGTATGCTTCTTGAATTCAAGTGTTCTGACTTGTTTTAACTCCCACAGTACTTTGTAAAGCTTATTTTTTTAAAAACAAAATAAGGCTAAAATAGCAAATGGCATTCTTTAAAGATATACAATTTTGTCACTTATCTCAGTCCTCTTTTGTTAAAATGCAAAATATAGGAGGAATTTTTCTGTAAGATGAGGCTTTATGGTTACTCCTAAATGCATACCTCTACCTAAGGAACAAAAAAAAAAGGGACTTCCTTGATGTATAGATTCAGTTGTCAGCATCAATTTGGTTGTGTAAGGAGCAGTGTGTGCACAGGTATTGTGACAAACTGGTCTGGGGTGTAAAAATGGACTGGGGGAGTAGACAGTACTTGGAAAGAGAGAGGATAGTGAATTTCCACTTTGGATAAACACTTTGAATAATTATTAATTCTAATGGATTAAATCTGAAAAGAAAGAAACATCAATTGAGCTATCAGCCATTAAAATGTGTATATATTTTTGGGGGGACATCCCAAATATATATTTTTACCAAATAGATTTTTATTATAACAAAAGCCAAGAATTCTTAGATACTCATTTGTTAAGATTAATTTTTGTCAGTGAAAACTAGGGCTGAGTACTTGAGGTGCCAGAGAAGGTTAGAGACATGCTGGTGAGTTTGTTAGAGGAGTGTATTCAGACTCCAGAGCACTGTATATAGCTCAGCATCTTGTTCATGTCAACTGAAGATGAACAGAAATAGTTTTAAAAAAATAAATAAATGATATTGAAAATTAAGTTAATCTCAGGAGCGTGATTTCATCAGGATACTTATAAACCTTCATAACAGTTCCTCTTTATTCCTATGAGAAACAAGCATATTTAAAATTTCACTTTGTAATATTTCTTGTTTGTTTTTAGGATACACCTT